ATTATTTTGATATGTATCTAAAAAAAGGATCCATCTTAATTCCAACAGGTGTTTAAACTGAATTACTATGTGAGAGAATGTGAGTAAGACCATGGGTCATGCAGGTAAGAATCTAAATACATGTTGCTTCATATGGAATAGAAGTATTTGGAGACTGAGAAGTTACCAAACCCCACACCCCACAGAGAGAGAGAGTGTGTGTGTGTGTGTGTGTGTGTGTGTGTGTGTGTAATTTTAGCCAGTCTAAATTATAGAGAAGAAATAGGAGAGAATGAGGAACATTCCAGAAATAGGAGAGAAAAGGGAACACACCAGGAAACACAGTGGTGACCAGAGCCTGAGTCTTTAAAACATTTTCAGTACAAAATGGGAAGCCATTGAAAAATTTTGAGCAGAGAATGATATGATCTAAACTGTACTTTAGGAAGATTGATCAGGTAGAATTGCAGAGAACTGGTTCTTAACTAAGGATGACTTTACCACTTAGGAGACATGGGGCAGCATAAAATATCTGGAGACATTTTAGTTTTCACAACTGCCAGAGGTGCTATTAATATCTAAAAGGTGGAGTCCAGTGATGCTGTTAAAAATCCTGCAGTTCACAGGAGAGACTCCCTCATCCTGCCCCACAGCAAAGAATTGGATGGTCCAAAACATCAGCTTTGGTGAGGAAGAAAAATCCTCAGGTAGAGGAAGGTTGTAATAAGGACCAAATACAGAAGTCAGTATAAATGGTATTACAATTTTAAGATAAGTGAGATAATTTTATATTATTTAAGAGAACTTAAAGTATAAAGCAACAACAATAAATAATTTTGAGAAGATAGTATCTACAGAATGTAGAATATTAGACTTTTATGAAATAATTTAGGGATTCATGATAAATTTAAGAAGTTTAATGAAACATAGCCAGCCTGCCTCTGCCCTTCCTTCCTTCCTTCCTTCCTTCCTTCCCTCCCCTGCTCCCTCCCTCTCTTTCCCTTTCTTTCATTTTCTTTCTCTCTTTCTTTTTTATTTTGTCTTTCTTTTTTTCTCTCACTCTCTCTCTCTTTTAATAGAGACACAGTCTCACTCTTATATGCAACCTGGAGTGCAGTGGCATAACCATAGCTCACTATAGCCTCAAATTCCTGAACTCAAGCAATCCCTTATCAGCCTTCTGAGTATCTGGGACTACAGGCATAAGCCACTGCACCTGGTCCTTGGGCTATTCTTTATGAGAGTTAGTGATTAGGCATAAGGATCTTCTCTGGTACTCTACAAAGCCAATATTACTTTCTTTAGACACTGAATTTTGCCTACACACATTGTGTTTGCAAGGGCCAAGCAAACCATAACAAAGGAATCTAAGTATTTAGGAGGCAGACGTGATTCTGAGGCTGGTGTTGAAAGAATTCCAAGTAGAGGAATGATATCCTAACCCCTTCCCCACCATACCTACATACCATTAAAATCCCGGGAACAAAGGGCTTGTATTAATTAGTCCATTCTCAGGCTGCTAATAAAGACATACCTGAGACTGGGTAATTTATAAATGAAAGTGGTTTAATGGACTCAGTCCAGCATCCTGGGAGAGGCCTCAGGAAACTTAAAATCATGGCAGAAGGAGAAGCAAACACATCCTTCTTCACATGGTGGCAGGAAAGAGAAATGTCAACCAAAAGGGAAAAAGGGCCCTTATAAAATCATCAAATCTAGTGAAAACTCACTCACTACCATGAGAACAGCAGCCTGAGAACTCTCCCACCGAGAGTCAATCACCTTCCACTAGGTTCCTCCAATGACATGTGGGGATTACGGGAACTACAGTTCAAGACGCGACTTGGGTGGGGACACAGCCAAACCCTATCGGAGCTCAAGGAGAAAAATTAGATTGACTGTAAATAAAACACACACGAAATGCTATCCTTATAAGCAGTATGATGATAAATAAGATACATGATTCTAAACTGTTTAAAGCATCAATTGTTATGTTAAACTAGTTTAATCGTGAGTACTATTTTTAACATCATTTGACAAACAATGACACTGAAGGAGAGAACTTAAGTGACTTGCCCAGAGTTAAAAGTTTCTAAGTGGAAGATTCAGTGTTTCCAATCCAGGCAGTCTCCTTCCAGGGACCACAGTATTAATTATTACATTATACCACTCTTGTTTTTATAAACCTATGATCATCACAGGGTTTTTTCCCCACTTTAGGCATCCTCTTTGCCTTATTTTAATCTACTACCATTGTATAAGGGCTTGAATGGGACATTTAGGCTATCATCTGAGAAAGTTTTGCGAAAATCTAAGAATGTTCGTAATCCCATTATTCTGCCTTACTTCTTGTATTATGTGGCTATTCCTTTTTCATCTTGTAAAGATGACTCTATTATATTTTAGTCTACATCAATAATACGGTATTATACATGAATGAGAGACTGAATACTCAAAGTGCCTTACCATACAGTCCAAATATATCCAGTTTCATAGAATCTGAATCCTATAGATAATAAGCAAACAAGATACAAGTGAACTGTTTCAATTGAGGTTTATCTTGTTTTCATTTTAGATAACAATTTACCAAAAATTTGTTGATTTAAGATTATATTTTTGTTATTCAAAGTGTTCATTTAGTTAATCACTTCACTGAGGCATCATTGAAAATACTTTTTTTTTTTTTTAGGAAAAGATACTGAGTCAAATTAATGGGAACATAGTAAATACCTTTGCTTATTCACCTGAGAACTTTCACTTAGTAATAATGCATTTGGAGCTTTCTGTAGTTTTGAATGAAAATACTTTCTAGGCATTTGTTTTGACATCCTGTCCATATCGTTACTAAATCCAGGGGTCAGGGTAAAGGGCTATTTGCAAAAAAAAATAAAAGCAGAAAAAAAGAAAGAAAAAGGAATCTTTATTCTCCAGTGTCCTAGACCTTCTGGCATACATTCAATTCAAACTTAGCCACTCTGTAGCCTGCCATGGGAAAAAAAAAACTCTCCAGTCCATTAGCTTTCACATAAACTGTAATTTAGTTAATTTAGGGGGCCAAAACTTTCCATTATTGAACATCAGAATTAATTTTTCTTTATTATTTGCAAGCAAATACAAGCATAAACATGTTAAGTAGGTAAAACATTAGGAAAATCTGAAATATGGCACTCAGAGACTCTGAAGTGGACAAGCCAACTGCTTAAACATTGATGAATCAATTGGATAACAAAGAGGTGAAACTAGAAAGCCACCAGCAGAGTGTGAATTCTGCAGAGCTAGGCTACAAAATGTTGGTAAGTGTGTCTAATTTTCTCCTGCAGTCATTGGATAAACATGTCATTTTTTTTAATCAATCACAGAAATGCCAATCAGATAGAATGTTTCATTTAAAAGTTCTTTTGGAAAATAATATTGGGTAGCATAATTCATCTGCAGTCATAAGAAGTATAACAGGTGATCAGTTTCAAAAAAGAGTGCATTCACTTGAATATACCATAATTTCACTGTCTGTATACAGTTGGTCTTTGAACAAAGCAGATGTTAAGGATGCCAACCCCTGACAATCAAAATTTGGGAATAACTTTTGACTTAATTAATTAATTAATTAGAGACAGGATCTTGCTCTCTTCCCTAGGGTGGAGTACAGTGGCACAATTATAGTTCATTGGAGCTGGAATTTCTAGGCTCAAGTGACTCTCCTGCATCAACCTCCCAAGTAGGTAGGACTGTACATGTGTACCACCATGTCCAGATAATGTTTAAAATTTTTGGAGAGATAAGGTCTTGCTGTGTTGCTGAAGCTGGCTTGAAGAAATCTATGTGGTTCTGCCTCCCAAGGTGCTGGGATTATAGGCATGAGCCACCTTGCCTGGCTAATTTTTCTTATATTTAGTGTTATGATCTGCATAAAAACATTTGTACCTCTGATAACAATGCTTTGCCTTATAAGAGGGTTCAAATAGTTTTTAACAGTAAAATATAGAATTATTGCATAACTAAATTGCTGTTGCCATGAAGAGTGATGTCTGGTTATTTTGAGAGCTTGTTCTCAAGTTATTCCCTGGTCAATTAATTGCTCAAGTTCTAAGTGTATGTTTTCTTGCTTCAATAATGATGAAAAATATAAAATTTGCATTAAGTAGAGTTATACATTAAAATTTAGTGATGCTTGATATCATGGACTTTTTCTCCTATTTTCTTTGATGTTGGGATATTATTTAAAATAACAATTTTAAAAATCAATACATTATTTTAAATTCAACTTGTTCATTAATCCAATTTTTTATACTAAGAGTTCATTAGTACTATTTTTTTTTCAGTTTTAACAAAGGATTTTATTTGTTGTCCCCTAAAAAGTAAAATCCAGAAGATAGCAACCCACTGCAAGAAGAGTTCTGTAAGAAAACATTTTCAATCATTCTCTCTTCTCTTCACATGGTATCCTCTTTCACATACACATCATCAGAAAGCAGACTGATAATGCAAACCCTGTGTGAAAGGCACATGGCACTAGTATTGCTCACACCTGCTACACCTCCTTGGAAGCCAAGGGAAGGCTTTTCTGCAGTCTCCCCATTTTGATAGAAACTGATCACAATTTTTTTAGAGGAAAATATTTAAAGGTCTCTTCCCCTGCTCTTATCTTCTGGAAAGGTACAGAATTAAAAAGCTTTTTTCACCCAGCTGTGATCAAAACACAGAATACTAAAGAGCATCTGGGTTATATAGTTGGATATTTACAGCCTTAAGTTCTGCCCCTCTTCGAAATGGGTAACAAACAAGAGGATGCGATAGGGACATTTAAAAAAAAATTGCTAGTCATTCTCTGATTGAGCGAAACAAGCTTTCTCAACCATCAACCAATGTGACCTCATTGATCACAAGCCCCGCAGAGATCCAACAAGATTTGAGTTTTAAATACAGAATGTATTTCAAAGATAACCAAGAGAGAGTGCTGATGTATGAATAGAATTGAGTGCTGGTGAAGGCAGAGAGTAAAGAATCCCAAGAAACTTTCAGTGCCATTTTCATTTAATAAGCCAATAGAAGAGCAACCTAAAAACCCTGGCTGTGATGACAACAGGATGTTTTTATGGAAGTGCTGCAGGAAAACATGATTAGCAGCTGACATCCTCTGGCTCACAGCACCAACTTCTCCAAGAGTCTTAAGACTGGGGTGTGTAGCGGAGGTATTTCTTGCCAGATGAAGACTTTGGTGAAGACTCCTTTCGGGAAAAGTTTTTTGGCTTCTTCTTCGGGGATGGTTGGAAGGACCATCACACTATCCCCATCCTTCCAATCAACTGGGATGGCAACCCTCTTTTCTGCTGTCAGCTGGAGAGAGATGACTACCCTGAGAATGTCATCAAAGTTCCTGCCTGGAACTTTGCTGGGTAGAGCTAGGTAGAGGATAGACAGTTTCAGCTTCTTATCAGGACCAAAAACAAACACCACACGAACTGTCACAGGCATGCCCTTTTCATCCTTCTCTGCTGGATCCAGCATGCCCAACAGAATGGCAAGGTCCCAATTCTTATAATCAATTATGGGAAAAGGTAATTTTTCTGTGGGTTCTTCACCATTGTAAGCATTGATATCCTTGCTCCAGGCAAGATGGTCCTCGACACTGTTTATTGAAAGGGCAATCAACTTAACATTCCTCTTGGCAAATTCTGGTGCAAAGTTTGCAGCTCTGCCAAGCTCTGTGGTGCACACTGGGGTAAAGTCCCGAGGGTGGGAGAAGAGAATGACCCATGAGTCTCCCAGAAAGTCGTGGAAACAGATGGGACCGACGGTGGTATTGGCCTCAAAGTTGGGAGCCACGCCCCTGAGAAGCAGACCTCCAGGCATGGCAACAGTGGTGATGAGCAGGCGCCGCTCGGACAGCAAGCAACCGAGCGGTTCTCCCGAAGAAGGCCATTAGTACTATTTTTAAAACAAGTCCCAAAGTCAACATTATTTAAATATTTTCGAGCGGTTCTCCCGAAGAAGGCCATTAGTACTATTTTTAAAACAAGTCCCAAAGTCAACATTATTTAAATATTTTAAGTGTGATGTATCTATTACAATGAGCTTTTCAAGCAAATCAAATATTTCCATGGGGCATCTCTTTGTTTATATAAATAAATATAAGCAACTACATTTTACATGTTTATATACAAATATTAGTAAATATATTTTATGTATATATATGCATATATGCATTAATATAAAGGCACCAAAGAAGAAATCAGCATACACTGAGCAATTATTTATTGCAATGTACTATTATAATTATCATCTCACTGCTCTTAACTGCCTTGAAACCTAACCTGATATTGTTATTATGGATAGGAAATGCAAATGTTGGAAAAATTAAATAACTTACTTAAGGTCACATACTTGTAGGTGCCAAATCTGGAATTCAATCACAGATCTGTCTGAACCACAGTATAAACTCTCTTCATTCCAAAGACCATAGTCATTTATTTTATAATCATTTATATGAGTAAAAGTCATGATAATTATAACATGTAATTTTCAGGCATTTTAAGAACATAACCATACAGAGAAATTCTTTAAACTGTTTCTTCTCAACCACCAAAAGACAGCCTGTATTAAACCTTAAGGACATCTAGAGAGAAATTATCTAAGATTTTCATTAGGGAAAAACACTGAGGTAAAATTTCCTGGAGAGTGTTAGGTCAGTGAAGATAGTTGGACTTTAAAATTGAGGTTCACTTTTATATTTTCCTATTAGTCAAAACTTTTAATAAATTATTCTTTCCACCTAACTCCAAAGCCTGGGATCAAACAATCTAGACAGTTATCTGCTTGGAGCAGTCCTCTGGAAGAAAATCCTTGCCTGAGGCTCAGTGCTCCAGATTATGAAAGATGCGGGTGGCGTAGGGTGACAGATTCAATCTAAAACACCAATTGATGCTGTGTGCTTTCATTCAACACCTGGACAAAAGAAAATAAGTACAATCATGCACTACATAATGATGGTTCAGTTAACGATGGACAGCATAGTCAGCATGGTCCTACAAGAAGATCATAATGAAGCTGAAAAAGTCCTATCTCCTACTGACCCTGTAGCTATCATAATGTTGTAGCACAATGCATAACTCATCTGTCTGTGGCAATGTCGTTAACAATGTTTTGCATGCTACTGCTCCTGAAGACATTCCAGTGGGACAAGGGGTGGTGGTAGAAGACAGTGATATTGATGATCCTGACCTTGTATAGGCCAAGGCTTATGTGTGTTCTTGTGTCTTAGTTTTTAACAAAAAAAAATTTAAAAGTAAAAAAAAAAATCAAATAGAAAAAATTTTATAGAATATAAGTATAAAGAAAGAAAATATTTTTATACAGTTGTACAATGTGATTGTGTCTTAAGCTAAGTGTTATTACAAAAAAGTCAAACAATTATAAAAATAAAAATTTTATAAAGTAAAATAAATGTTAGGGTAAAATAAGGTTAATTTATTATTAAAGAAACTCTTAAAAATAAATTTAGTGTAGCCTAAGAACACAGTATTTATAAAGTCTACCACAGTGTACAGTAATGGCCTAGGCCAGACACCCTCAAACTACGGCCTGTGGGCCACATGCGGCCCCCTGAGGCCATTTACCTGTCCCCCCACCTCACTTTAGGAAGGGGAACCTCTTTCATTGGTGGTCAGTGAGAGGAGGACAGTATGTGGCGTCCCTCCAATGGTCTGAGGGACAGTGAACTGGCCCCCTGTGTAAAAAGTTTGGGGATGCCTGGCCTAGGCCTTCACATTGACTCACCACTCCCTGAGTCACCTAGAGAAGCTTCCAGTAAGGCAAGCTCTGTTCATCATGTACCATCTTTTGTCTTTCACACTGTTGTACCATCTTTTATTTTTTTATACTGAATTTTTACTATATCTTTTCTATGTTTAGATACATCAATACTTACTGTTTTATCATTGCCTACAGTATTTGGTAAAGTTAACACACTGTAGAGATTTGCTGCCTAGGAGCAAAAGATCCTACCAAATAGCCTTGCTGTGTAATAGGCTATACCGTCTAGGTTTGTGTAAGTACCATCTATGATGTTTTCATAATGATAATATTGCCTAAGGACTTGATTCTCAGTGTGTTTCTTCATCTTTCTAATGACGGTAATGACATCATATTTAATGTGCATGTTTAAATTAATTTTATGAGCTTTCACCAAGCGGTTTTAGGATGATGATTCTCAAATTAATAGATCATCTCTTTTGATGGCATTTTTGAATTGTTTAATGCTGCTATTTTGATGTTTGAGCACAAAGGAGTGTTAAAAACTACTAAAACAGTGAAATTATTAAATTGAAAACAAAGAATGATATGCATCTGTATTTTTGTGCTGGGCTCAAGTTTCTGCTCTTTATATACAAAGTAGCTGCCTAATACATTAAAGAAGCAGAAGAGTTAAGAATGTCTTTCATCCTATGTGTAGTCTTTGGGTGTTTATTGTCAGTTATCAGATCGTAACATTTATTAAATATGCATTTCAGTAGATGCAATTCTCTTACCATATATGAGAGTAAGGTATTAGATTTTATTTCTAGATAATTTGCATATATGTCAATTTATGTGATAGATGGTGCAATGTGGAAAGAATTTGTACTTTTTATGATAATTAAGCAGGAGACTATATAAAAGGCTGATATATTAACAGGCCCTATATAAAAAGGCTAATAAATAATAAGCTTTCTAACTGAAATACTTGTGTAAATGAGGGAATAAATGTATTACTGGTTTGTGTGCTTTAATGTAAAAATATGTTTATAGCACTTTCACCTATGAGGAACAATTCTAACCTCTTTGCAAATACATTAATCATGAAACATGTATTAAAATGTATTAAAATCTAATGCTTAGAGATGGGCATAACTAAAATATAAAAAAACTTAAACTATAGAGAAAGGAAATGTGTATGCTGATAAGAAGCTTACATAGTAATTGGTTATTCATATTAAGGTTAAAAAAAGCTTTTCCATTATCTCAAAAATCATGCTCTCACCTTTACAGATTCTGAAGTTCCATCTTAGTAATGGTAGGATTTATCCTTAACACTTAACATGCCCATGCAATTTTGATGACATGGTGCGAACCTCTGTTTTTTCCTTTTTTTACCTGGATTTGCTACTGGGTTGAGGTTCCCACTACCAGGCATAAGAAAGAATAGTAAAATAAAATAAAATAGTGGCACATTAAATATTTTTTATGGCAGACTGACTTTTATCCATCAATTCATAGAAAGTTAGAATTGTAAGGGATATATACAGAAATTTATCCTTTTTAAAAGCACACTAAATTTCAGAATCTCCATGATTATAAGGTCAAAACACATAATAAATAGTTAAATATATTCAGATTACCCAACTTTAATCAAATCTGATATGTAAGAAATCTGATATCTTAAGGTAATAGAAAACATTAAGTTAGTTGCCCAAGGTCTGATTTAGCTTGTCTAAGAATTAAAAAACAAAACAAAAACAAAACAAAAAATGCAAACTCATGTCTGATGTGCCTGCAAGTATTATTTTCATTACATTTGCATAATTATAATACTGACCATAACACTACCAACAATAGCAGAAATATGAGTACAGTCTACATAGCTCTCTTATAGGAAACTTATTAGATATGGTGATTATCACAACAGCCTTGTGGTAGCAAGAACCGTCTTTATTATCTTCATTTTACTGATGTGGATAAAGTTCAGAGTTTCATTAAGTAGCCTGTTGTCTCATGATAAGCAGCAGTATCTCTCTACTGGATCTCTAGGCAGCTGATTGCACATACAGTGCCTGCAAATCAAATTATTATTGTAATATACCTGGTAAAATGATGAAGATACTATGATCTGTATTGCCTAATATTTCAATAATCTATTTCAGGCAAAAGTACTCTTATGAGATCTGTAGCCAATCAAATTATGTAGAGAACCATTCTCCTATGCTAAAGTTATTTTAATGGCATATTTAGAACATGAATGACATCAGTTAAAACTACTGCCTTACTCTAGAAACGTATTTTTAGAAGTCATATTCTTATTTACAGCTAAGTTATAATTACACAAATCAGCAACAATGCATGTTTCTCAACTCTAAAGGCATGACTAAATTGCAAACAAATAAATAAAGCTTCAGTTACAAGTAATGCTAGAACTTTGTTTATTGATTATGAAATATAACAAGATAAGCCTAGGAAATCCCCTGCTGTGTAAGGCTGTGTAAAAAGGCAGAAAGTATTAAGCTCTTAAAGCTATTTTTAGAAGCTTAACTCTCAACTTAAACTCTTATCCTGTGTTGCGTATTCAGCATGTTCTCAGTATAAAAGGCTTCTGTGTCAGTTACCCATCTGAGAAAACATTCAGCATTAATGTCTAAATCCATATAAGCTGTATACAAGTGTAAGTTTTATAATGTGTAAACTCCTTGATCTCACAGACAACTTCACAGCAAATTCAAATACCAAATAGTATTTAAGAGAGGCAAAATATAACTTAGATCAACACAATCAAGCTAAATATGTTTTACTAGTAGTTATAAAGGTTAAATCCCTAGAGAATCACTTGTCTCTGATAAATCAATTCTCCACTCACATTACATTTGAGTCTCTGTGTGTGCGTACACTGTGGTGAGAGCAGGAGGAAAGGGTGGGATGAAAGAGAGAGAAAGAGAGAGAGAGAGAGAGAGAGAGAGAGAGAGAGAGAGAGAGAGAGACTGAGAGAGACTGAGAGATACAGATTTCTTTTCAAGGCCCAGATTATCTTCTCTTAGGCATATCTCTCAATTCAGATATAAACTGATTTGGAAATATGTTAACAAACAAGCACAGCAAAAAAGAGTATTTGAAACAATCTGTTTTCTTTTCCCTCTCTATTTCTTTTAACTCCTGTTTTTTTATTCTACT